CCTTCGCCAAAGAACAAAAACAGAGAGTCGGTAAAATCAAAGCCGAAATGTAAGTAAATAAAACATATTGTTTCTTATATAGGAAGACATTCTGCAAAATTGCCACGATTTGCAATGCAAATCAAACATAGCGCTATTATTTCACTCACATGCACACACACTCCCTCGCACACACAGACGCACACGCATTTACATGTTAGTAGAAATGAAAGTGAAACCTCGGCGCATATGTTGCTTCAGAAGCACACGAACATCTGTCTGTCGGTCCGTCTCTTTCCCCTGTCTGTGTGTTATGCTTGAATCATTGTGATAATAACGCACAGGGCACAAGCGCGTTTCTCTGTGTGTGTATGTGTGTGTGTGTGTTCGTGTGTGTGCTGCTCTTCACCTGCGGCGCAGCGCGAAATAACAACTACAGAAAGACTTTGGCAGCCGCGGCACAAAAGTTCTTTAGCCGTGCTCAACTAAGAGATACTCTAAGCCCTGATCGAATGGCTAATCGTCTGTATAGATCTTTTCATTGCTTTTGTTTCTGTTATTTATACGCTGCTCAGATAAATACAAACAGCTTGTTATTGTAACGCTAAGTTATTGCATGTTACAAGAGCTCACCTTTATATTTGTTGCTTCTTCCTTCCAGAGCAATAGATACGCTTACAAATCGAAATACTGAAAATATCTATTTCCAGCTTAGTATCAGAGATCAACGGGCTCATACATACTATTGTATATGTTTTTAAAGCACTCATTGAGTTTTAAAAAGTTGCTGCATAGATTTGGATGGAACCAATATACCCCGTACCGCTATGTTCCATGGAACCAGACTTTAAAAAAATACAAAAAAAATATGCTTAAAACATTTTACTCCACTTTGCATTTTTCCGTTACTCGCTGCTTGTTGTTCCTGTTACCGGCAGTCATCCGGGCAGTTGTACAAGCTTCCCCTCCGCCCCCGCCCTAACCACTCTTCTTTCAACCTGCGGCAAGCAGTTGCCTTTGACTGTGCGTGTTTTCGTTGCGTCGTCTCCGTCGTTTTATATTTTTGTAAATTTTTTGATTTGTTATTGTTGCACGTGTTGTCTTTTGCCTTTGTTATGACAATTTATGCTGGGCGGGCAGCCGAGCAGCGAACCACACTGAAAACCCAGGGGAGACCACCATATTGATCATACAAAAATATACAGCATATCCCAAACACAGCATAAATGTTTTCAAATGGCACTCACCTCGACAACAGACAACAGAAAGCATACAACATATGTATATACGAAAGCTGGATAATGAGAGTAAATTTATATAATAAATTTATATATAAGAGTTATCCATGCCGACTGAACACACAGACATAATTATGCAATGACCTTTAAATTAAAATGCAAGTTTCGTTGTTATTTTTACAAAATGGTTTTGCTTGTTTTTATTTGTTTTCCTTCAATATATTTATGTATACATAATATAAGTTTTGTTTTGTTTTGTTTTAGCCATTTATTTTAATATTATATTTAAGTGTTATCTCTATTCATCATTTCTATGTTGCAATAGTTGTTCTTCATGTTGTTTTGGTTTAAGCTTTGTATATTTTCTTAATGCTTCCTCGCTGGCAACTCATTGACTAGCCCCTAACCGTCGTGCTGGCTCTTTATAATTACAATCGATCCCCTTTTTGAGCAGCCTGCATTTAGGGTTTTTTTTTATATATTTATTTTACTTGTATATAATCTGTATAATATTTCGCTTGGTTTTAATTTGGTTTATATTTGGCGCGTTGGTTTACAAAAAACGCGACCAAAATTTGTTTTTCTTTTCATTTTCAACTATAAATATTTGCTTTGTCATTTTTTGGGGATGCTATGCTTAATTTGATTAACCTTTTAATATTCGTTACTTTGTTTCACATGTAATTTCTGATGAAAACGCCATTTTGTATATAAGGGACTGTATGGGTGAGTGAGTTTGTGTGTGTGTGTGTGACGATAGTTGTGGCCACATTTGATGCCATATATTATTATGTATATATATATATATATATATATTATTTTTTTATAAGAACATAGCTTATGTAATTTATTTCTAACTTTCGCTTTTTTTCTCTTTTTTTCACTTTTTAAATTTGGTTTTTATTATAATTTGCTTTCATATTCTTTTTCCTGTCTGATCTTGGGTCTTGTGTTTTCTAGTCCTTGTCCTAAAACACACTCAAACATTCTTAAACTTCTACAAAATATTTGCAATTCTGCAGTCGATATCTATATTTTGTTTATATTATTTGCTATTTACTTAACATTTATTTTACGTGTTAATTCATACATATACATATACATATATATATTTGCTTTTTTTGTTTTTCTTACTTTAAATATGTGAGTGTATGTGTTAGTGTAATTGGTGAAGTGGTGTGCACAGCTTATCTGCGTCTTAGTATGATGCTATTCAATACCTATATATGCATGTTTTTTGGTATTTTTAAAATTTTTTAGTTAGCAGCTTTTGGTTATTTGCTCATCGTTTGATTTCTTCTACATTTGCGGTGTGTTTTGTTTAGAATCTTACTATGATTTTAAATGCATAAAATGCATGCTTATGCCCTCTGGAATATTGCACGAAAATATTATGGATTGCTTCGTTCGAGTGCTTCTCGCCAACGTCGATCTTATAGAGAGTCAAACTAGCTCTGCTTACACGGCTAATTTATTTAGTTTGCTAGTTTAACGCTTAATCTTTTGGGTTGGTTTATTCATCGATATATATAAAGAATATATCTCATGTGTTTGTATATAGAAGCAAACGCCGCGACTAATAACATTCGCCCATGTCAGATGAATTCGAATTTGTCCAGGGCCTGTCTCTCGGCTATTCGGGATAAAAAACCATAAACTTAACCAGCTAAGTTGAATATAATTTATGCCATGTTTATTTGCAAACTCTCAGCTCTAGGCTGCGGCTTGACTTGGCTGTACTCTATGTAAATATCTGTTATGTTACTATTTGTATTTGATTTTCCTTTTGTTTTTATTACTGGTATTGAATTGTTACTTAAATAATACTTGTCTTTGATTGATTTTCGGTTTTTGCTTTGTTTTTGTTTTTGTGATTTGATTTGATTTGATTTCGTTCATATATTCATATATATTTTTGCTTTACTTAATTTATGCTACGTCACTTAACTACAGACTGACCCCGGGTCCTATATTCATTCATGTATTGTATGCGTGTGTGTGTTATGTGTATATCGTAAAATTTTGCTAATGCTCCAGTTACAGCTTTCGAATAATTACCCACCAAATTGACTAAATTGCAATTGAAGTTTCCAACTCGAAACTTCAATTGATTTTAAGATTTTTATCTTTGTTTTTGTTTTGATTTGATTTTACAATAAAAAAAAAAAGAAAAGAATTCAATTTCAATAAGAAGTGACTACAAGGGGTGCTAGACCAGTCCAAACTTAATAATTCAGCTATAAACTTAAACTATCCTGACAGAAGAATCGAAAGAGATCAACTTATATTGGGGTCTACATAATGTGAACTTAGTTTCGAGTGTCTACTGGAGTAGTTGGTAGAATCGCTACCTTGTCCAATTCGACTTACTTGATACTTAGGTAATGCTCCTCTTAGAACCCTATCAATATTTTCTTATTTCTGGCTGTTTTACTGTTACTTTTACTGTTACTGTATATATATAAATATTTGTTTTGTATATGTATATGTTTGTAGACGTATATAAATGTCTTAGCACATTCAATAGTTGCACAACATTAATACTTTTTTTTGTTTTGTTTTTGTTTTTTTTTTTTTGCTTTATCATATATATATTTTCTTTGAATCGTTATTTACGCTTTATATATCTTCTTATGCTTAAGTTTCTTGTGTTCTTTTTATATTATTTATAGTTTTCAACTCTGGGTAAGCTTCTATGTGGAAACTACTCATTTAACTCTTCACTGATATGTTGCGCAAACAGTAACAAACAAACCAATAATATTTGTATATAATTCGTAAATCTCTTTGTTTTTTCATCCACAAGTGTTAAATATAAAGTTTGCTTTCATAAATGTGCTGCTTTTCTTATAGCCAAATATTTTCTTTAAACTCTTTTCTTATTGGTTTGGTCAACAATGCTTTAAATTTTCATCTGCCTAAGATATCGTTTATTTAACAAAAAGTTTTTTCCTTTTTTCTCTCGTTTGGTTTAAAGAAAATAACAACATAAAAATGCATTCATCGCATCAGCTTCAATCTCTCTTCTTCGTCTTTCTTTTTTTTTGCTCTGGCTTAAAATCACATCTACATCTAAGTCGTTTCCAGTCATGTTGAAACATGCAATGCCCCTCTCAAAGTCCGTTAATTCTAGTGCTAAAAACATCTTAATAGACATTACAACTCGCTAATTTCTTAAGCTATGTCTGATTCGTAGTTTCGATTAGGGTACGGTTACGGTTACGGTTACGCTTGCGGTTACGGTTACGGTTACGGTTACGGTTAAGGTTAAGGTGAATGTTATAATTTGCGGTCCTGCGTATAAGAGCTCGTTTAGCTATAGACATGCATACACAACACTCAATTATGTATTTGAACTATAGTACTACTAATCGCCACCCATCTGTATTCCACTGCACATCGTTAATGCCTGCACGTGTGTGGTCTTGTTTATCAAACTATTAATAACAATACCAATACACATTAAAATTTAATTGCAAAAGAAAGCAGGCCTTCGCCTGAACGATATGCTACATGAAGCGCGTCACATGCAAATCGAAATGCCGCACCTCCACCTCCGCCTCCCCTGCCCCCTGCTCCCTGTTCAGCTGGCCAGTTCAAATAAAATGATGTTTAATTTAATTGCTCGATTCGTTCGCAATGATGATCTATTACGTTTTATATCGTTTTTTTATCGTCTTTATTATATTTTATTTCGAACATCTATTTGTAATTAATCATCCTTTTCACTTATATATAAATGAATGAATACATGTACGACATGACACATATGTATATGTGTGTTTGGGTGTGTATATTTACACTAAGTTACATATGCCACTAAGCTATTTGTATATATTTAAATATGCATACATATACATTATGTAAGCATACTTTTTCCATGTTTTGTTTTCAATACTTATTACATAAGCCGTTGCATGTCTGTGTACTAATGTGTGTGTGGCTGTATGTGTGTGTGTGTTACGACTAAATCTGTTTTAAACTTTTACTGAACTACGATTTATATATGTATATATTCCTCTCAGACGAACGCACTATCAAACAGGGGCGGCGTGCAGGCGTGGCTGTCTGAACTATAAACATCGAGCAGTACCTAGAGCCCGATGATGATGGCTCAGCTGGTCTTATACTATCTGGTAAATGTGTACTTAAGGGGCATCTGCTCATACGAGTATGATTCAGTTATTCAATCATGTCGACGCACTCTTCCTGTCTCGCTGGCTTGAATTAATTGCTTTTGCTTTTGCTGCTGTGCTTAGGCATGGCTGGACATGCATAAAATGAAACAGGATCTTCGGAATTTGCATTTGTATTATATTATTTTTGGTTTGGTTTGATTTGGTTTGCTTGGTTTTAGTGTAGCGAATTGGTAATGCGCTCATATAATTGCTATGTATACGTATTTAGATTACGAATTTGCATTTATTATGGCTAATATCAATTAATATCATTCGATGGCATATTTTGATTGTATTCATTGAACGTACGTCTATATAAGTATGAGTATATGAATGTACTTGTGTGTGCATTGGGCGTTTCCCCTAGTGCCAGCTAATCCCCTACCGCCTACGCATTTCACAAGCCCTTAAAACTCGCCTTCTGCGATTACCCACGCAATTTGGCAAGGCCTTCAGTCGAAGCTGGCCAATTCCCGCCTACAGTCGAAGCATATAGACTGAGAATGGACTCGACCTGAGCCACAGCAAAAAAGGGAAGGTATTGCAGGTAATCTTCTAATTGTAAAGACCTGTGAAACACACGGGTGTCATCTGTAATTATATTTGCATAATTCGGATATGGGCTTTGTTTCTAACACAATAAATTTGCAGCTAACCATTCATCTTCTGGCAACTGAAATAGAAACATATACGTTTTATACGTTTAAGTACTGGAAAAGAAAGTCAAAATATACTTGTTATGTTGCATTTTGGTAATGTTGCTTTGTACATGTCTTTTGAAGGATTTTCAAGATCGAGTGACTTTTTATTAATCATAACCAAAAATGAAATCATTGCAAACTAAATAAAATAAATGAAATTCGTGTTTGTGTTGCTGCTATTAATTACAAAGCCTGTGAGACAGATAAAACGTATGCTTGATTTGCCATATTTAGCGGGATTCGACTTCGAATTTTGAATTTCGAATTTCGAATTCGAGCTTGTCATTTGAGTTTAAGTTAAGCTTGTGGCTGGATTGCATTGGACTGTGTTGCGCTTATCAACATATAATAGATAGTAACGATCATAGGTTATTTCAGATACTATTAACTGCGAGTGCTTGTGGCTATAATGTTGTGTTCTGGATTGGTGTGTGTGTGTGTGTGTGTATGTAGGAACATGTCTTTCAATTACTGAGCAATCACAAAATAAAGTACTACTTCTATAGTTGTATGAGCTTTGTGCGCTAGTATGCTTCAATGGGCTAACAATTCTTTGTAACACTTAGTTGCAGACTATAGGAAAATGATAGCAGGAAAAGTCGAGTTCACCAATTGTTTGAGTTGGCTTGGCTTGGCTTGGCAGTTGTGTATGTGGCAATGTGGCGATGTTCTCGTCTAGATCTAGGATAGTAATAGGCACTAGTGCTTTGTGTGTATCATTGTAGACACATTAAATAGTGAATGTATGCGCGTGTCTGTGTGTGTGTCCGTGTCTGTGGAATGGGCTTTCGAGCAAGCATTTAGGCATATGCATACAGAGAGATGTGCGTATTCGTTGCCTTGGCTGCTGGCAAGCCACAACACATACAGACAGCGAAATTTTTATAAATAAATGAAAGTGTATTCGCGTAATTAATTTTAACGCACTTTTACTTATGTTTATTTCGATTATAGAACATGTGTATGTGTGTGTCTTTGTGTGTGTGCTTGTGTCTGTATCAACGAGCATCCTAGGCTGCTTTTTGCACAACGCTCAGAAAATAGTATACTTAATTGATGGTTTTCTCTTTTTATTACCAAATTGTTTGTTTTACTTATGTACGCAATATTTTTGTTTTTCATTTTCTTAATTTCATCTACATTTACTTATAATTGTTTTTAATACGCGGCATGCATAACACATTTATATGAAGCATTAATTTATTTATGTATATGTGAGGATGTGTGTGTGTGAGTACGCTGTTTTAAAGCAAATTGTTGTTGTGTTTTTCATGTTGCATTTAAGGCTTATTTAAGGGCCATCTACAACCGTTTATGAAGCTAATATATCATGAACAGTTGCAAATGTGCGTGTGTGTGTGTGTGTGTATATGTGCTGTAGCATATTTTGTTGTGGTTCTACTTTGGTTTTTGGTTTTGGCTTTGGCTTTGGCTTTTGGGTGCTGCACTCAACATTCAAGTTGACGTCAATTAAGCAATTGCTCGGCGCTTCGCATTTATTTACAGCTGACTTTGGTTTTTTTGTTTCTGTTCAGAACTTCTGCTGTACTTAAAAAAAATTTGGATTTTTCTCTCTTTTTGCTTTATTTTATTTTATTTTATATATTTTGCTTTTGTTGCTTACTGTGCCTGCAAAAGTAAAGGATAAACCTTAAAAAATAATATGGGTGTTAGTAAAAATTGGAAAAAAATAGTAGTCGGAATAAAATGTATAAGACGCAGTCAAAATGGTATGAAGCATTTAAAAACTTATGGCTAATAAATACTCTGTATCAAGCAGTAAAGTTAAATGAATTGAATAGATTTTAAAAGCATCTTAAAATATTACTTAAAAAACTACCAAATACTTAAGTATTCAATGCTCATGCTTTGAAGCAAGGCTTAAGTGTCTGAGAATTATTTTCTTTTATTTTTATTTGCAAGCATTTTTCAGATGAATTTATACGTTGCTTATTGACTTTGGCTTTAAAAGCCAAAGTCCTTTGATTGCACTTTTGTTATCGTTAATTAATATTCAAACATGTGCACTACAACGATTTAATATCCTTTCCATTCTAGTCTGACAACAAAATAGGTTTTAATGTCAATAAGTTCATAGGGAGCTTCAGTTGCCTTGGCCCAACGACTCGCAACAAAGTGTTAGTTTGAATTTGATATTGTAATGTAGGTAAGCTGCAACCTATAAAGAGTACAATAGCTAAATAGCAAGTTTCTTTTGATCCCCTTTCCAATAAATGTATAAAATACTAATCTGAATATGAGAAATGCATACACAGTCAGCATTAAGAGCCGAGTTGGTTCAGCTATGTTTGTCTCTGCCTAGTTGTATGAACTTTTTAATCCAAACACTCATTTAAAAATACTCTTTATTTGACTGATATATTAAATAATTATATTATATTATATCATATATTAAGTATTATAAATTCTGTTACATATAAAAAAGTCAGCAGCAGACTCTTGCATTTCTGCAAAATCTATAAATCTATGAAAACTAAGCAAATCTATATAAGTAATATTCTGCTGAATTTCCTACTTATAACTTCTATTCATTTGCCTTTGTCTGGCTGTTCAAAAAACTGACTTCAAACGCGCAGCTATAAAAAAAATAACAATTTATTTATGTTAATTAAACTAGAGCATATTTCTAATCAAGCTTCTAAAATAACTGGGGTCAGAGTTGCCAAGAGAAAACTTGGCAGTTTTCCACATCTCATTTTCATGAGAGAATCTTTTATATCCTTTTGGAATCAGGCTTAAGTAATTCTGATTATGTGTCGGAAGTCCCTATAGCTGTATACAGGATATTTTCAACAATATTCTCTACTAACCACGACACTTAATTCATTTCTAACTTTATATTATTTACCAATTTAATATTCCTTCGCCGGTTTTTCACACGTTTATTATAAATGCTTTCTACAGTTTTATGCTTGCTTTCTGATGCAAATACCAAAATTATTTATTAAATAAAAACAACAACGTGCTTAAGCTAAAAGCCCATAGTGCAACTAACAATAGACAACCAAAAATTGAAAATGTTCCAAAAAAATAGAATGCATAAAAACAATTGTTTCTAAATAAATAATACATGTGGCAGAGTTCACTAATCAATAAGCAAATAAGTGAAAATCAGTGCAGACAGTCGAATCGAAGCGAGTCAAATGGAGAACATATTCAAAACATTCAGAATAGACGACTTTGAATGTATGTATAAATGGGAGTGTGCTTTATGTGTGTGTGTGTGTTTATGTCATTTGCTATTAGTGTTGATATGCACATACCTGGGGGCTCACTTGGAACTGCTGTATGGGATAGGCAACGACGCCGGCGGCCTGTGGTATTGCAGTGCCTGCAACGCCCGTTGCCAACTGCTGTGCCGGCGAGATCTGGGCCTGGGTGACGCCTTGCCAAGTGGCTGGTATTTGCACGCCCATTCTGAAATTGGCAACAGAGAGGAAGAACATTCGAACGAGCATGAGCCAAGAGCTGATGACGGCAACAATACTACACACAACTCGAGATCTGCCTGTGTGGCGTTTCCCAGGAGCCTGCTCTACTGCGACAATTACCACCGGCGAGACAGATGACTACGGGCAGCTAGCTACGTGGCTTTTGCTCACTCATATATCCAGCAACTGCTGCGATATATGTGTGCGCCATGCGCCGTGCGCCAGGTAAATATACGCCGCACTCACAAATGAAAACTTTAGCAATTAGCAAATGAATTCACTCATCCGTCATGCTGTCGCTGCCCATCCCCGGTGGCGATTCAATCATTTTGCGTAGAGAGCCACTGGGAGGCGCAGGGCAATGGAAATGTTGCCGCAACACAAGCGCTTCGGCTAATGAAATAATTATCCATAAATCGATGGCAATGGCATCAAGATTACCTACCCCATGTAGCCCTGCTGATAGCCTCCATACTGGCTGAAGTGGTAGCCCTGAATGCCCTGCAGGAACTGATTCTGAACAGCCGCAGCGTTGGCCGCCGCTGCAGCAGGTGTTGCAGCGGCTGCGGTGACCGACGAGGCCGGATAAGTGGGCGTCGGCGAATACCAGCACCCAGTGGCGGCCAGCTGTTGCCCGTAGGCGGCAGCGGCGGCTGCAGCGGCGCTCACGCCATATGGAAAACCGGCGGCAGCGGCAGCAGCGCTGTTTAATGCCTGACTGGCCATAGTCTGGGAATTATTGGGGTCACCGCTCTCCTTGCCCCAGGAGCACTTCACCGGCTGTGCATTGATCTCGGTGTTGTGCACACCGACGATGGCATGGGTGGCTGCCTCCTTGGTAGAGAAGCTGAAAGTAGAAGCAGTTGCATATGACAAATGAGCACCTAGTACCACCTAGGGTAGAAAGTATGGATAGATCTGCTCTTGACTTACCGCACAAATGCGTAGCCCTTATCCTTGAAGACGCGTATTTCCTGTATCGCGCCGTAGGGTGCGAATGTTTTCTGCAGCACCTCCTCGCTGAGTGCGGTGAGGGCGCTGTTAACGCCGCCCACATAAACGGTGCAATTGGAGGGACTGCTCTGGTTGTAGACCTCATCGAAAGTTAACGGCTTGATGTTCTCTGTTTGGGTTGAAATATGGGAGCAGAAATTGGCAACGATTTCCATTAGTGGCAATTCATTTCGATATTTCGCAAATGTTGGCCCCAAGCCACAATTAATGACTGCAGTTTTTCCGCCTCTACATGCGGACGTTCTCTTTGTTTTTTATACATATAATATTTTATGTCTCTTGTCGTTGTTGTTGCTATTGTTGTTGTTGCTTTCAGGGAACTGCATGATTAATATGCAAATTAATTAAGGGTTTTGCCCGCAGCAGAAACGACTACAACGCCAGTCGCCTACGGTTTTGGTAATTAAAATAACCGCATACACTTAGTCAAAATATTTCAGTATATACAGATGTGTGTATGTGGGTGTGTGTGTGTTCAAGGATACAGGTTTGTATAACTGCTATACGACAGCATTTATCGCAGTTTGCACTGTTGCTGCTGTTGTTATTGCATTTTTTATCATACGTATTTGGTGTGCGGGCAGTTAACGTATTTCCCATTTCCCATTTTCATTTTCATTTTTTTTGGTATTCAACTGGGAGTTGGGCTTTGGTAGCCCACATTATTGCGGCTCGTTCGCGTTGGCTCTACTGTGTTGTAGGTGCGCGCCAGTTGTGCACGTAGTATTTCTATGCAAAAGTTACACTAATTACTTCCTTTGAGCTTAAAACAAAATTTGCACTTTTAAAAATAATGTCAAGCTTGCGTGTTTATGTCTTTGTTTAGTTTTTAACAATTTACAAGCGCTGTGCGCCAGTCGCCGCCAGAACATACGCTTTATGGTTTATGGGATCTAAAAACGATTCGACTGCATATTTTATACTGATTGCTGCTCCGTAGATTCCAGGGAATTTATTATTTTTAATAGACACAATTAAATGGAATCAAAATATGTTTAAATCACAAAGGAAAAACATTTATTCATAGCACAATATATGAATAAATATAATTAATTTGATTCTAAAGCTTCACTGAATAGTATGTAAAGGAAAATATTTCTAAAAATTTCATTTGAATCGTGAGCCTTGATAAGATTTTATTTAAAAATATTTTTTTTCTTTATTTAATAACAAACGTAGCGCATCTATTTAATCCGTATTAGCCTAACCTTTGCTGGCTTTCAATGCAATGCTTCGAGTGCAGCCCTCCATTATAATTCCTCTACATATCGTTGGCTGGCGCTGCCCGCCTCTGGCCCTCTCGCTCTCTTTCACTTAATATATATATCCATGGGTCACTGTCTGTCCCTTTCCTGCTACCGGGGAGCGAACCAAACAACACACAAAAAATATGGCTCAATAACATGCAACAGGACAATTCTCTCATGCACACACACACTCACAAAGGAACAGAGGCACAGTCGAGGGTAAACTAACAAGCTTGCAAATATATTTGAAAGCTTTTGCCACAAATGAATACGCCTTGTCACAAACACACACTCACACGTATACTCACATGCCCTCACGTACTCTCAGCATATGAGAGGGGCTTAGCAAAGCTGCATTGCATACTTTTGAGCGCAACGTTTCACTAATTTGCACTTTGCTTTGTGCTTCTGCCTTCGTTTCATTTCTTTGCCTACATTTTCCCTTACACTTTTAAATCCGTGTAATTAAATTTGGTTAGGTATGACGGCAACGCACGCACACACACCCAAACGTGCCCAGCCTTGAGGCGATTTGCAGTCGGCTGTTGTTGCTGTTGTACCCTTTGGTGGGGCTGGGACAGGCCCTGTCTACATTTCATTTCATGACTACACCAAATTAAAGTGCTTGCCAGCGCAGTAGTACTCTGCCTGTACTTTCGACTGCAAGTCTGGACATAATTATCACGTTAAAACTAAAGCCCCTGGCCTGCGGGCAGGCCACATATCCACACACACGAGTATGTAATAAAATATAATAATCAAACCAAACGAATGTCTGTCTGACAGTCGCCGGCTTTCTCTCTCTCTCTTTCTCTTTCTATATATTTGTCTCCGACTGCCTGTCCGTCCTTTTCGACATGTCAAGCAGCTTTTCTCATAGTACTGCAATTTAAATGAGCAATTACTGGCATATACAACTTAATGATGAATTAATCACGCAGTCATTAGCGTGAATAATTGAAGACTTTCTGCATACATGAAAAACACATCCCCAACAACAAAATCAACAGGGAAACAAAAAGAAGAAGGTAGCTGCTCGAGCACATTTCAACTTATTAAAATGTATGACGTGGGCGAGGGCATATAATTTTAAAGACGCATTATCAATTAAGACCAAATGAATGTATTCGAGCTTGAGAGAGAGAAGGATGAACACAGAAAGGCAGAAGGAAAAGAAACTTTTTACACTCGTTAACGAAGTGAAAGAGCATATTACTTCTGTGCAATGTCAGTCTGGCTGTGCGTTCGGCTAACCATATGAACTTTAATCATCGAAACTATCGAAGTCAGAGACTTGAAACTTCAAGTATATACTAAAAATGTTTCACCAGAAACACTATGTCTATTGGAGGGGCCTGGCACATATTTAAAAACTACAAAGATCGCATTTATTGAAGCTCGAGCTCAATACTGGAACAGTTTTGTAACTCCACCATCCCTCTTTAGATTCACTAGAAGAGATTTTCATTATGAACGAGTATTCTGCAGTCAGTAACTCCCGACTGCAGCACTCTCCCTTGTTATATTTCTTTTACATTATGAAGCTGATCTTCGCATTTCTTAAAGTCTATAGAAAGATCAGGAGATATATTATCGAGCAGCAGTAAATACAACATAACGTCGTAAAGCAAATGCTTAGACGCAAAATGGAAGCTAAAGTATTTTGAGGCCAGCCTACGAATTAGCATAAATTGTAGCTTCAACTGGAAGTTTTCATGTCTGCGATTACGAATAGAGTAGAAAGCACTTGGGCAGCCCTTTGAGGCATTTCAACTTTTACTTAATTGTGCGCAACTCTGCATAAAATGTTGATTTATTGCGGCAGCTACAACTGCCAGGTAAGTAGGCGGCTCACGCACACAGTCACATAATTTGCTTGAAGTTTGTGAGCCCAGTTCCAGTCTCACTCCACGCCCACTCGGCAGTCGGCAGTTTGCTTGTGCAGAACAGTCAAAAGTCAAATAGTTTTGGCACAGAAATTTGTCATACAATATCGTCGACGTCGCCATCGCCATCGTCGTGGGCTTTGTTTTACCGGCATATTGTTTCAGGTTAATTAAGTTATTACTATAATGAGCTTGTAAGTATTTTGGCCTTTATTTATGGCATGCATTGAAATGGCGATGGAGCTGGGGGCCTTAACCGGTTAACAAAAGCGAAACTTTGCCAAAACTTTTGCCACGAGCTGCTGTCGACAATAAAAAATGGCAAATGCGTTTATTATAAGCCCAGAGCTCGACGCGAGGCAAAAGAGTCAACACGGAAAATAAAAAGAAAGCAGCTGAATATTGCAAAGCGACGCCAAAATTGTCACAACTGTAAAATGCGCAATTGCGTCGGCTCGTAAATCTTAGCTACAAAAGGAGGCGAAACACAAAAAACACACTCAAACACACACACACACACTCACATATGCTGGTGATTGGCTTACTAAACGTCGCAACTACGGACTGATTGCCACGGCTATAAAATGTGCAGCCTGCTTAAAACATAAAAACGACAGACCAAGCCTGGCCAAAAGCATTCACAGCAGCAGCAGCAGAGGTAGGAGCAGCAGCAGCGGCAAAGTGGCTACGTAAAATATCAAGTAATGCCAAATCCCAATGCGAAATGAGTTGAGTGCTACAAATCGTAAAGGCTGCCTGCCAGCAGGCACCCCAAACAACTAGACATGGCCATAAAGTCCACAACCTACTCCAGCACACACACACACACACACGTACATATAAACTATATACACGCATGGTAAACCCTTTATGTAGCGACGACTGAACGACAGCTCGTAATTGTGTAAAATCTTTGGCGGCGTCTTCGATTTTGGGTCTTGGCCTGCTGAATCAGCAACTCTCGGGCTGCGCTCAACCATCAAAATATCCAAATTATTTCGCTGGCAAATTGCTAATAATAACTTGTATTACAACTACAGCGACCACAGCGCCCCGCCCCGTCTCGCTCTGCGCCAGCACAGACAAGCCCGTGACAAAGGCAAATAAACAATGAGACCAATAAAAATCCGCTTAGGCTTTCATAGGCGTTTTTTATGACAACAATATAAATGCAAAAGCAAAATTCATGCGCATAGTTGTTGGCCCCGAAAATGGGAACCCTTCAACATGTCAGACCTTCCTTCGCAAGATAAATTCCACCTTGACTCTGTGTCTGTGTGTGTGTGTATACACACAGCCAAAGAATGCCAAATGTTTGTTCTATAACCATAAAATTTTTGCTATCCTGTTTCTCGCTCGCTACGACTGTGTGTGTGTGAGTGTGTGTGTGGCTTTTATGATAATAGTTTCGTGTTGGCAAAATTTATTTATCTGATTTGCGTCCTTGCATAGTCGCTCCCGAAGTATGAATTTGTGTGTGTGCATCAAACAAATAAAAATTATGTTAAAACATGCAAATACGCGTTAACTTTTGATTTATGGCAGACGAAGACGAATCGAAGCGCACTGCCCCCGCCGCTCCCTCCGTTCCACTGCTCGCTAACTGTTAATAATGATTGCGCTAGTTATAGTTGGTTTTGTGGTTACGCCGTACTACTGACAGCCGGTTAGACGAAAGTTGAGGCCCTTGGGGGAGCTGTGCATAAATGAAAATTGATTCGTCGTGCCGTGTAATAGAATATGTCGCATTACTTCTTGGCTCCTGTCGACCTTTCGCCGTCGACTAATTGAAAAAGTTTAAGCCGAAATTTTGGAGCCTGGCCCATTACGGAAATTAAGCGCGTGCGGTTTTCCAGCTCGCAAAAGTAAAAAATAAAAAATAAAATTAAGAAAACATAATCTAGCAGAAAATGTTGCTACGACACGTTTATAAATAGCAGACGGATGGGTGGGTTGGTGGCTCAATGGGTCGATGGGTCGATGGGTCGACGGGTCGATGGGCTGCTCTGGCTGGATTCCTTTTTGCACAACCTTTGGTCTGTGTCATGCCACTGACACCTTTGGCATTCATTGCCATAATTTCCTGTAATAAGAGCGATGCGTCGACTTCTGGCGACAACAACAATAACAACAGCAATAACAAGAATACCTTTAAGAGCGCCGGCAACTGGCTGGCTGACCCTGTGGCCTGGCGGGGTCACCAGCATACGCACAATGGCGCACGCACAGCCGGAAGCTTGGGGCCAGGCCAGGTGACAGTCATGATTTCCTTACCTTTACTTGCCGGCGGTTTCCGTGTGGCCCAATTCGTGCGAATTGAGCGCGAGCCCAGCCACTGCCCATTCATGGCCGTAATGGCGCTCTCAGCTTCCTGTGGTACGATACGAAAGTAAAAACGAAACGACAGTTGCGAAACGAGTACACGTGCCAGCTAAGTCGCCTTATAGATGCATTACTTACCGATTTCTGAATGAAGGATACGAATCCATAGCCCTTCGACTTCAATGTTTGTGGGTCGCGCACCACGCGGCAATCGCTGCAAAGCAAAAGAAAAAGTAAAAATAATTATTCAATTTAATTTTTTAATTCATATTTGTATTATCAATATCTGCTCTAAAGTTCTATAGAGCTTAGAGTTTAGCCAACGGCAGGATATCAGAGCGCAGACCAATAAATAAAGGGAAATAGTTTTAGAGTAGTTTGAAATTAGTTGCGCTGCAGTCAGACGACAAGCAGAAAGGACAAGTTTATTTATCTTGTTCTTAATATAAATTGTTTCATCTCAACACTTTAAGAGCGATTTAGTTGATTGCCCAGCGACGGCGCTTCAAATTGATTTCCCACAGCAATAGCAGGAGTCCAAAAATTCTTGGGGCCATAGGGCTGGCAGGGCAACAGCTAAGCTAAGCTGCCAGCAAAGTTTGGCAATTACCCCCGATCTGGCAGTTTAGTTAACGTAGTGCCAGGAATGTTGGCAATGGTGGCCGGCAACTTTTTTATGATTATTATAAGTAAGCTGGGGCAGGGCCTTCAGGCGGACTGGCAGACGGCTTATTAAATATTCACACGCGCCGCGCATTTAACAAAACAGAATCAGAAATACGCCAAGGCCCCAACATAATGACAAAACCAGGCAACAACAAGAAAGAAATTCGCCGTAAAACCTCAGGCAAGCCAAAAAAAAACAGTCACACACACACGTAACAGAAACAAAAAAAAACACAGCACGCATAAAAGTTTTGACAAAGAAGTCGTTGGCCCCGTGCTAAGAATGCGACGGCGGCTGATCCCAGTGCGTCGCACGAGCGAGCCCGTATCCGATACGGAATATCTGTATCCAAGCTCGTCCCGGTTGTTTGCATTAAGCGTTTTGACATGTTGGCTGCCATGGCGAGAAGATGACAGCAGCGTTTGAAGAGAAAGTTATTTAGGTTCCAGCTGCCAACAGACAGCGACTCAGACGCTGGCTCAGACCATGACTGCTATAATCAGGAGGTGACGCGGGCTGTTTCCGGTTGCTTGAGCCAATCCATCTGCGGAGTCATGTGCGAGGCGCAAACATATCAGCGATAATGATACCAGAGATAACTCTGTATCGCCAAGGTGCCAATCGATTGCTCAATAGGCCGTCACAGCAGCTGCTTAAGCGCGTAGCCAACGATACGCCATTCAATTAAACTGATTTTACGTGGGCAATCTTATAATTTGAGCGGCTGGTTGTGGAGCCTTTGAGGGTCCTGGCAACCGTTGGCAGCAAGCAATCAAAGGACATGCGCCGCTCATTAGCACGACAAAGTCAACGACTAGCTAAAAGCCTTGCGGCCAAATCAAAGCCCTAATCATTTTAATGAGTTTTAAATTATTAACATTCGCAATTGGCCCCGATAACAAGGAGCGCGTGGGCGCACAGATGTGAGGCGGGCGCACATTGATGAAACAAACAAGCGCGTAATCCAAAAATCAAATACTTTAGCCAACATTTTGTACAAGTCGCCTGCGGGCAGGACATGCCGCAGAGCCTCTGTCAGCCGTTTGAGCCAAAAGTTTGCGTCTCCAACAGCAGTTAATTAAGTCAAGTTTCTGCTTTTGTTGTTGTTGCCTCTGCGGCTGTTGTTGCTGCTGCTGTTGACCATTAGCTTCAGCAGCTCTAGTCCTTTCATGCCGAAAAACAGCAAGTTAAATATTTAACATTGTTTTGCTGCTGTTGCCGTTGTGATTGCTGCAACAATTTAACTAGAGCGACACTTTCTGTTTACTTTAAGAGGCGACTGTCAGGCCGAGCCACACAGAGGCAGCCGAAAGAGTTCGCTTAAGTGAAATTAACATAATATACATTTTCGCGACGTTATGAAATTTTTATGTGTGCCAACGCAAGCGGCTTACTGTGTTGATGCAAGCCAGCAAACCAGCTCACATGCGTCTTCCCCCCTGCCCCACCCAGCAACAGACCAAAATATGAAATGGCGGAACACCTGCCGAAAAAGATGCGCCCAGGTAGGCAGCCACGAGAGCGGAAAGTAAATTGTGAAGTGGAAATTTGCATTTTAATACTTACGAGATTTCGCCGAATGGTGTGAACGCTTCGCGCAATTGCTGAGTTTCAATTTCTGAACTCAAGTCCCCCACAAAGATGTGGAATTGTTCTGCAAAGATAATGAAAGAAGGCAAAAATAAGTTAAAACGTGTTCAGAACTTAAGAGCAGATACCCTTAAAAGTGAGTTTCAGTGAATCAGCTTGGACTTCCTATATCTCCACGTAGCTTAACTCTTTTGGTATGCATTTCAAAAGAGGTAACAACAAATGAGACAATAAATATTATTGAGCTACTATTTTTAACTGTATTTAATTAAGAAGTCAGCTTCGTTTATCTTGGCAAATTATAATTATATAAAACTTATATTATATCATTTTATCAATGACAGATTATTTTTTAAATATCCCAAATATATGACTTCCTTTTCTATACAAAGTTCGATTCCTTGAATTGAAATTTACATCGCTGCCTGCTGACAATTTCACTAATTAAAGTAACCGAGTCACAAGTGAAATGGTTGCATTTGTCCGCCTTTCAAATACTTTTGTAGCCCAATGAGAGCACACAGATGGAGGACATATTTCCACACACACAACTGCACACACACACACACAACCGCACACATAAACGAAAATCAGCGAGTGCACAAATTCAAAGGCTTACGCTGTCATGCAGACTGCACATATACAAGCACAAAGAGCAAGATGTACAATGCACAAGCAAACACACACGCACACACACACAGGGGAAATTCATACTTGCACTCACACACACACATATTCAAAACGCAATAATTTATTATTATTTTTGTGTGCTTTGTCTCTTTGGCACAGAAAAAGTCGCAACGTTTCAGTTGCCGTCGACGTCGCCGTCGCCGTCGCAGTCGCAGTCGACTGGTTGTGCCGTTGTCCTTCGTATGCTTTTGTGTCAGCTAAGCTGAGTAAAACCAAGGGTTGGCAATGGGTTAAGGGCCAGCGTGGAGGGTTTTTGGGAGTCGTCACATATAAACACACGCACATACACAAGCACATCGAAAGACACACACACACACACACTTACACTCACAGAGCCAGAAGTCTTACCCTAAATAATTAGCACTATTCAACTGGGGCATGACGACGACGACGACGACGACGACGACGACGACGTTGACGGGCGCGGCTTTGACTGCCAGCTCGACTGCGGCATGTCCTGCGTTCTGTGTCCTTGTCATCGTCGTCGCCGTCGCCATCGTCTGCTGCACGTGCAGAAATTAACATTTCCGGTAATTTTGCGAAAATGAAAAGCAAAGCGAAAAATTAACGGCAGCAGAAACGTAATGCGGAAAGCTTTTGTGTTAAATAAATATTAAAAGCAATTCGCCAGGCCAAGCCACAGCCACATGACGATGATGAGTAGATAGAAACACACACAGAGAGACAGAGATAGAGAGAGATACACTCACTGAGCTGCCAACATTGTGAGTGAGCTGTTGAAGCTGGGATGTTGGCTTTTAAAAACAAACGAGTAAATCGCTGCTGCTGCTGCTGCTACTGCCGTGAGCGTGTGTGCGTGTGTGCGTGTGTGTCTGCGTGCACAATTTTTATTTAATTGTAAATTGCGTATACGCCACCATTAATGAGCCCATTGTAAAATCAGACGGCGGCAAGGCTTAGCTGGCTGCCATTCCCCGTAGCTGGTGCTTGAACTCTGCCAAGAATGGAGGCAGCACCAGGCACTGACTCAAATTGTGATATACGCCGCTCGAGTAGTTGTCATTATTGTGAGTCAATTGTGCTTTGTCGTTGGCGCTCCACCTTGTTATGGTTGTGCTTGTTGCTGTTGCTGCTGCTGCTGCTGTTGTCAGCTCAAAGGCGAAACGACGTTGGTGGCATGCACGCAACTTGCGAGTGACTTCACATGGGATAGCTGCCCGGTTGACTGGCTGGCTGGCAGACATACTTTTGGCTTATTGGAGCCAGCGAATGTAATATTCATGAGCCGAAACGAAAAGCAAAGTTCTTATTGCTGTTGCGCACAGGCTGAAGCCGAGACGGCGACCGAGCCAGGGGGCCGGGACGACAAACGTGTGCGCTAATTGCAGTCAAAGGCTGCTTTATATTTGCTCCCATAGGCGGCAGCGACGACCTGGTTCTGTATCGGCAGCCACTTTGTTGCCTTGGCTGACTGGGTGACTAGCTGACTGGGTGTCTGCGTGTCAAGGGGCTGCCAGCATTTCTTTCGACTGGCTCGTCAACTCGTTGCCTGATTAAAGCTGTGCGTATGTAATAGGTTAATTAAGTTTTTGGCATCGCGACAGTAATCTCTCGCTTGTGCTCTCTCTTTCGCTCTAGCTCTCTATCTGTTTCCCTCTCTCTTCGCTCTCCTTGTGTGTTGTCCTCGTGTAGACCAGCACACGTGCACATAAATTAATTATAAATCCTTAGAAGGCACACGGCATTTACAAGTGTTTTGTATATTTGCAGAGGACGCGTTTGCACCGACTCGAAGCGCTAACAACCTCAGCGTGTTACTGTGCCGACCAGGACATCGGATACCCCACAAGCAGTCGTAGTCCTAGTCCTAGTAGTCGCAGCTAGCCAAGTGTGTCAGTAGTGTGCTGCTTGCCACGCCTACTTCTCTACGTTTTCATCACTGAAAGCGGAAGCCCGGCCTGAGTATGTGTATGTGTTTTACAGCTTTGCTAGAGTTGTTGTAAATTTTATGTTATCCGTTTCCATTGTTTGTGTTGCCTTTATTTATGTGTCGAGTCGTTGCCCATCCCCAGCCCAACCAGAATGTCTGTGTGTCTGTGTGTGTGCGCTGATTTGCCATTGTTATTTATGCGTTTGTGCTACACCTTATTTCCTGTTTGTCTTACATAAGCTGCAACGCTTAATTACACGCAATCGCATAAACTCTGTGAGTCGAGGGCCACTGCTGAGGCAGCCTTTAAGGCCGTTGGTGACTGTAGCCAATTTATCGATTGCAAGCGCCGCTTATCGATAGAAAATGTGTGTCACCTTTACAGAAGAGTCGCTCTGGTGTTATGGTAAAGTAGATTACGGTAGCGGCATATATTTTGCGTTTAGCATAAAATCATTTTCAAATTCCATCCGGTCATTGACCACACGGCGTATGCGCAATCGTAATGGCAATTATGTACTCAATGGCTAAATGGCACTGCATTAAAGCTAAAAGCGTTTAGCGGCTAGTCGAAAAACCAACAGCTGACCGACTGCTGGGACTGCCCGCTGTCATATAAAAGCCAAAAATAAGCAAACAATTTGACGCTAACAACCGCAAAACGTGCACGACCCTCAATTTGGGCGTTGGGCTGGACGACAGGCTTTGGCCCGCACCGCCCACAGTTTAACCCAAAAAATTGATGAATATGTAAGCAAATACAGGACCCCAACACGCAGCGGGTGCTGCCACACATACTAATACTTAGGATAAGTATATGCATGCACATATACACACACATATATATATGGAATAGGAAAAAAAGGATCAAAGTCCTGAGGCGCGTTAATTTTGCCAAACGTCAGCAGAAAAGTAAATCGGTGCCCAGTTGGGTGCGTTGCGATGCTGCCGAGCCTCCAAATATGAGTCCGCATGGCCACAAATTATATTGAAATGTTAATAATCCAGTTGCTTAGACGTGCTGTGCAGCGCTGGGTCGCACACAAAAAAGGACAACTCAACTGCAAAAGGATATTTACATGGACAGTTTCTGGCTGCTTCCCTGCGCCAGCGCTGACTTATGACTTTGATCAATGCCGGGGCACCCAATCAATTTGGTCCATTCCACATTTGCCGCATTTATGTGCCTTCGAGAGTCACTTATGCCCGCAATTTGGCACTGCGGTTATCTTGGGAATAGGATACTTACCAGAGCCAGGACCAGGACCAGGACCAGGACAGGCAACAGGGATATGCTGTCTGCTCATGTTTTTATTGTGCCCCCAATCTGACTACCATTTGGCTTTGATATATGACACACAATTTGCCTCTATTGGGGCTGGGAGGGCTGCTTGTGGGAAAGGGCGCCGATAAGCGTCTTGGCTCAGCAAATCTTTAAATTAAATTTGCCTGACTCAAATCAGCGTGCATTATAAAGTATAATGTGCTTTTAATTTCATTAATTCGCAGGCAGCCAGCGCGGGGCATACTAAATGAAACTAAGAGATCTAATTAGCGTTTAGCGAGCGAGTATGGCGACCAGGCAGCAGCGACTGCTGCCAACTTAAAGCAAACTTTGCGCTTTAATTTCAACTTAATTACGCGCACTCGCACTCGCTCTTGCACTCGGTGCCTCAGCCATTGCAAATGCAACAGCCATGCCGTTGCAAGCGGCACGTTGCTGCAGCAGTTAGCAGAACTGAAAGCCAATCAACTTATCACTCCACTCCACTCCAGTCCAGTTGTCTGCTGACACTTTAAGGAGCATTAGATGCTGTTGGCCTTTAAGCAGCAAACTGATCTTTATAATATAGTTGCTCCTGCATAAGCAGAGCTGAACCCATTTTAATTTAGCCTTGTTTACTTTCGCTTATGATTCGATTTTCATTTAAATGAAATACCAAGCAGAAAGAGAAACGCTCAGAGTGTCCTTTGTATAAGCTGGTTGCTGTTGACAACAGTTTGTGTGTGGGAATCTTTGCACTCTAGCTGAGCTTTCTTCTTCTTATTTTCTTTGCAGCAGTCTCATCAAATTGTCGCGTAGCGCAGATCAAATGAAATTTTCATTTTCATTGTGCTGTGCGTCGAGTCGCGTCGCTATGCGTTGAATGTTTTCTAGATATATATATATATAAACATATTTATATAATATACATTTACACAAGTTTCAGTGGGTGTTTGTGTGTGAGTGCGCGCTGTTGGGGGTTGCTGACACCGAGGTAGCTACCTTTTCGTGCCGTTGCCGCAGAAACTTTTTGGGTTATTCAGTGACTACGTTGCACTATTCTTAGCTACTTGTGTGTTGTCGTCGTCGTCAACGTTGTTGTTGTTGTTGTTGTTGCTGCTGCTGCCATCGGCATCGGCATCGTCGCTGTCGTCATCATGCCCGTCCTCGTCCGCACCGCGACCGTCTAACGTGTAAAACAATGACTCATTAAGACTCA